TCCGTCCCTCCAACAGGATAAACCAGTCAAAACAGTTTCCTGGCTGATCCTTGAGCTATCAATCTTCTGCTCCTGTTCTTAAAATAAAGGGTGAATTTTCGACCCAATAACCATTCTTGCTTAACAACATCCTTCCAAACCCGGACCAATCTAACATCTATTTTCCAACATGCCACAAGAAAAAAGTTCAACTCAGACATTGTGCTGAAAAGAAGTCATGAGAAGTCCCAAGACGGAGCTGCATGAACAAAATGATGTAATTTCGCTGTTGACACTGTGAGAGCGACACCAAACTTCTCATTGAGTATGTCACAAACTCAAGTTTGTTTGGATCCCTGCAAAACAGGGGCTGCACAACATAGCAGGTACTCCCAGTGCTGAAATGCTGCAAGGTCGGTGGTTTAAATCCCAGCTGCTGTCTTCCTAGCATATGATTTGGCTGCTTGCTCTGATTGGGTTCTCTGTGGATACTCCAGCTTCTCTTCTTTCAAAAAATATCCATGTTGGCTGAATTAGTCTCTAAATTGACATAAAAAGGGAGCATGCATGCTGCCTGTGCTGTGGGTCAGAGCGGCTACAACTGATTTCTTGCGTAGCGTTTTCATAGCAGTAATTATAGCCTGCATGACATTCTTGTGGTCAGTAAATCTTTCTGTCTTTTAATCTTTTTTATTTCATTTCACACAATGAATGGTGGCAATGAATAACCTACAATTAAGCCCAAACGTATCAAGACTATTTACAGATTTAACTTCTAGTTACTATTATTCAACTAACAGTTTAGTTTTGATTAAAGTGCCACAGGAGTCTCTTAGAAGATAATGAGGCAATGTATAAAAGGCATGTGAAACCAACAAAAAAAAAATTATTTATTTACATTTGAAGAAAAGATGACTTTTTATAAATTACTCAAACCCTTCTGAAAAATCATATAAAAGCCTGCAATGTCTAATACAGCAGTCAAATCTTCCAATAATTGCTGACTGTCCCCAATTGTATTTTTGCCCAATCATGTGTGATGATGGTCTCAATTTTTTTTTTTGAGTGGAGGGTTTCCTTTCTAATACCCTGAAGTTCAGCTTCCTCCAGATTATTGATTGGATTTAAGTCAGGAATCTGGCTGGTCCACTTTGAAACTTTTATGTCTAAGTCTGCTTACTATTTCTTCACTGCTTTTTCTGTGTGTTTTTGGCCTTTTTCAAACCGACATGTCCACAGGAGCCCAAGGCCAATATTCTCTGCAAACTACTTGATGTTGTTGAGAATCTTGATGTATTTCTCTTTCTTTCCTGATGCTGTTTACTGTGAATCAGTTCCCTTGTACATTGACCAAAGAAAACTCCTCAAAGCAGTAGATTCCCACCACAGGTCAACAGAGGAGAAAGTGTTCTTAAAGTTGAAGGCTACTCTTTTATTTCACGCCAAATAAGGGATCCATTAATGTGGCAAAATAGTAGAATTTTTGTTTCATTTCGACATAAAACAGGATAGAATAATAAAAATATAACAGTCTGCTTCTTTGTTCAGGCGAGCTTATGTAAAGATCAAACAGCCGTTTTGTGCCTTGTCTTAAAAGAGTGTGTTGGCGGAAGCCTGCAGTGGGGGGTGTCAGTTTTTCAATCTGCCATAAGACGCTGCCACCAGTATAGCCTAGGTTTATCAGTATGGCCTTGTTGGTGATCCTTAGATTCTTTATCAACTGCCCACTAAGTTCCTGACCTGCGCAGGTATCCTGTTTTCTTGCAACCAAACTGGGACATCTCTGATTTTTCACAGTGCCAAACATCTAATATTTTCAATAATACTTTGGACTGTAGCAACTGGAATTTGAAAGCAGCTAAAGATATGAACTTATAGACAAACTTTATTGTAATTTCTTAATACACAGAGTGAATACAAAAAGAAATTACTTACAGCTTACAACAGTGAAATTAACATAACCATTATAAAATGCAGCAGTCTCCTTTTATCCTACAGTGTTTATATTCTGATGAATGTAAACACTGTAAAAGGAGACCAGTTTAAAATAATGGTGCAAAAGGGCATTTATATGGAAAGGTTCAGTGTATGGCAAAATAAATATGGTGCAACATTTCTTTAGAATGGAGGGTTTCCTTTTTAACACCCTGATATGCACCTAAAGCTCTTCCCAGTTTGCTAAAGGTGCCACAATGAGCAGTCACCAGACCTCATTAAGTTCCTTGATCTTAGCCATGACTCTCCACAAACATGCTGCAGAAAGCTGCCTTTTTTTTGACCTGTTAAGTTCAATAAAAAGCTGTTCCCAAATAATCAGTGTAATTAGAATGCTTTGGAAAAGCATGGGCTATTTGAATGGCTTTAAAATTTGGATTTGACTGATTAAAAGGGGTATAAATACTTTTGGACATGTGGCTTTATGTTTAAATGTTAATTAAAGCTAAGGATTTGAGTTTTTTACATAATCATTGCACAGATATATTGTCTGATCATCTTTAAAGAGAGGTCTGTATCATTTCCAACCAAGAAAAACAGTACTGGCTGAACAAAAATAACTTTACTCAAAAGCCTGCAGTTGGTACAAATACATTTTGGCTTAATTATATGTGTTCGGGGGGCTGCTCAGTGGCCCAGTAGGTAGCACTGCTGCCTTGCAGCGAGAAGAGTCCAGGTTTGATTCCCGGCCCAGGATGGACTTTGCATGTTCTACCTGAGCATGCATGGGTTATCTCCAGGTACTCTGGCTTCCTCCCACAGTTAGGTTAAGTTTTCTAAATTCTCTTTAGGTTTGAGTGTGAATGGTTGTTTGTCTCTGTGTTGCCCTGCAATAGACTGGCGACCTGTTCAGGGTCTCGCCCTCTGACAGCTGGAGATAGGCACCAGCACCCCTCGCGACCTCAGCTGCGATAGAACGTGACAAAAAATGGATAAATGGTTGGATATGTGTTTAGATAGTAAAAGAGATGCCTCTCACATAATATACATCTTTTCTGGTCCATTATGATGATAGACAGCTAACCAATAGAATGCGACAGAAATGGTTTCTGATCAATAGAATGGAAAATTTCCATTATACAAGACACACGGACTGCAGCCAATGTTCTGGTGCAGCTGTTTTGACATCCATGCAGCCATGTAGCCACAGCACTTTCAAACACTTCATTGGGTCAGTGGACAATTTGAATGGCGGGAAAGGTCAGGATAGGATTTAGCCGGGAGCCCCTCATCCAACAGGTGTTATTGTCAGAATGTACCACTTGTTTTTCATCATAGCAGGATGTGAATATCTGACCAGCTTTATGCATTGCATTGATCCAGTATGTTAATCTCTGGAGCGTATGTGAAAAGGTGCTTCCAAGGACAGGCCAGTAAAAAGGTTACATTGATCACTGGAGGCTTGATCAATCAGTCCCTAGACAAACGAAAAAACAAGATGGTTTTAGATATGATAGCCCTCTTGTCAGGAAATAGATGGAACTTATGTCCTACTCCGTTCACATTTTATCAAACCTTAAGTGAATCTCACACATAAACAAGTCTGTGTTCCTATCCGTGGGCTGGTCTTGGCAAGTGAGGAGCTACAGTATGTCTGTCACACACAAATCCTATGTATGAAGCAAAGGACTGAACACACATTCAACCCACATATGACTATTCATACCAGCTCACTACACAAGATTAGGAGACTAGTGCAAGTAATTTAAAAAAACAAAACCTGGGATATTCTGGGGAAAAAAGAGAAAAAATAAATCACATGGAATACTATATGCTTAACTGTTTGACTACATGGATTATTTATGCAAGTCATATAAAATATTTAATAAAAATAAAAGATTTAATGAATTATTACCATGAAAGTTTTAATTTAGCTTTTTAAACCAAGATAAACGACATTTCATTTTTTATGGATTAGAACTTTATGAGATAAAGTGTGCAACACAAACGAACTGTTGTAACTATGGCAGCAGGGACCTTTATAATGCTGAATCAAATAAGGAACAAAATCATATTTGAATTCTATGTCACATTTTGCTTGCTTATTAATATCTTTATTACATTTAAACTATATTCTGAGAATATTTTAAGAAAGAAATAATACATATTTTACTATTACACATTTTATCATGTGACACGCAGAAACTTTATATTCTATTTTAATGATAGACTAAGACAAAGTTGCACATAATTGTGTTAGAAAAGAACACATGGCTCTCAAACTGTATAGAAACTTAGCATCTTTCTGTCTTTATGGGGGATGTTTCTACCAATGTTGCACCTTTAGAGAGCAAAAAGCAACTAAGTATTTCTGCAATTTTTTGATTATGTTCCCATCTGTAATGATTCTAATGCATTATATACTTTAATCTGTAGCAATCCATTGCTTTAGGCTGCTTTTCTTGTGGACATTGAAGCTCTGAGCAAATCTTACATCTTCTGCAATTTCTAATAGGTTTTATTCCAGAACTGCCTAGTGTTTAATACTATAATGTTAAAGATCATACCTTCAGGATGATCAATCACATTGTGTTACCATGTAATGGTGTTTTAGGTGTAATGTGCATCAGTTATATTCTCCCTCAAATAAAAACCTGCAGAAGTTTCCTGTGATTTCCTCCCTCATTGTGAATACATTCCATAATTGATCCCCATGCTTTTTTCCTCGAGCTTTTGTATTTTTTTTCTTTAAATTATTCTTATAGTTAACAGTGAGACACCCTCTGTCTCTTTTTGTTTCAACTTCAGCCGATTAGGGACGTTTATAAACCTGCCATTAGCTTTAATCGGCGTGAAAGACAAATAAATAATTTTTGTCATTCTGTGTTGACAACACTTCGCTGGTTATGCGCGTTGCTGCATACTCGCACACCATTGGTCGGAACATCTGTACATCATTTGGCTATACGATGTCGCTCCGCCCTCTTGATATCTACGCGCGCGTTGATTGGTTCTAAAATTATTCTACTGAAACACGACTGACCAATGGCCGTTGAGGGGGAGGGTTCTTCTCTACAGTTGTGGAATCGAACGTCCCCGAGCGCACACGGCGTAAAGGAGAGTCTGTGGAAGGGACATAACGGTTTTCTTTTCGGCCCCCCTCTCCACTCAGACAACAAGAACCAACTAAAACCTGAATTTCAGAGGGGTTTACACAATCTTTTTCTGCTCTAAAGGGGGAGGGAAGCGAGGGATTGGAGCAGCAAGTTCTTTTTTTCTTTTTTCCCTTTTTCTCTTTTTCTAAAAAAGAGGATTTTGTGTTTTCACGGTGGTTCACTCTTCGCTCTCGCCGCAAAGATGATGGTCGGAGAGGTCGAAGTGAAGGAGCGACCGAGGCCGAGTCCAGACTATTTGATGCAATTATTAAACGAAAAGAAGCTTATGACCAGTTTGCCAATCTCTGCGGAATCTTCACGCACCTGGAGCGGCTTCTGGATGAAGGTAAGCTGTGTTTGTATCATGCGGGGAGGTGAGCGGGGGAAGGGGGAGCGTGACCACGGCGCAGTCCGATGTCGGTACCGCTTCTCCGGGTGTCCCCGATGAGGAACGGGGCTCTCCCGTCCTGTCTGCCGCGGCCTGGACACAAAACTTAAAGAAAATGGCCCCACTCGAGTATATAAAAAAATCTAGTTCTGCCCTGTTTTAGACCACGGCGAGCGAGTTTAGTTTTGGAGCAAACGGAGTTTTGCCGAGGTGAAAACTTTGCTAGACTCACTCGGAGAAAGCAGAACTACATGACCCCGCTTAAAAAAGTATGATAAAACGAATGTGTAAAGCTTTAGCTGTATTTAGGAAGTCCTCGGTTGTTGTCGACGGAGCGTATTTTAACATGTTTCTCAACAGTTTAGCTCGAGTTAGCCACATTTGAAGCTAGCCGAAGACTCCTGCGTTCCTCTGAACTCTCAGCACGACGCTGAAGTTGGTGTCCGGTTCGATGCTTCGCCAGATTAATGGGCTGTTTGCTGCATTAAACTAATCTGAATTTACTTAATCTGCAACAAAATAAACCTCAATCTAGGTGGATTTATCATAATTGAATTAGTTAATTTTAAACCATGCGTGAATTCTACAAAATAAAATGTATAATTTATGAAACTCAATTTTTGTTTGTTATTTTTGTAGTGAAAGCTTACAATAAAATGCAGAATAAAGAATAACATACCCCAAAATGTCTCATCTTAATAGAATATCTTATACCATATTTCAGCTGTATTTAATTTGTTAGGTCTAAATAGAAAAAATCTTATATGTTTTTATTTACTCTCCTCTTTTACTTCTTTATCAACTTAGTGTGGAAACCCTCAACCATGTCGAGCTTGAATAGAAATAGCTTCAACAAGGATTTTTGTGTTGTATCAACAAAACAACTAAAATAAGACATGTCAAGCTATTTATTACATTGAAGCATATATACAGTTGTATTTAGGAAAGCTCATAAAAGTTTTCTATTTATTTGGAATCTGCACCAGCATGGATAAAGTAGATTGGGGTCCATCTTGGAAGCCATGAGGGTGAAGAGGCCAGCAGGCCTCAAAATGGGTCTTTTCATCTTCGTTTTTTTCTCTCAGTTCAGGTTTGACCAGATTCTTAACGCAGTTTGGTCATTTAGTCACGCTTCAAATCGGACACTGACTTCACTGTCCTTAACTCAGCTACGTACGTCTTTAAAAACTAAGTCAGGGTGGTTTTCCTGTCACCGATTAGATTAATCTTTTAATTTCCGTTTCCAGTTGAATTAATTTAGCCCAGGCGTGGTGTAGTTGTCCCCCACTAGCAGCGCGGTGGAATGTGCAGCTTGTTGCCCGAACAATGGGCAGCGAGGGAGGGGTGTGATTTGGGGGGCTGGGGGGGTTTGCTTTATCTAAACTTTTTCACTAAACGTGGTGCTGCTTAGTTTCTCCTCTGTTCGCTCATCTGCTTTATCGTTTGTCTCACCAGCAAAACATGTGCTGCATATAATCCAGGTCTCCTTTTTCTTACAATTATGCAATAATTTTATTTTTATATTCTCTAAACATCACTATAGGTATATGCCCAATAGATCTCTATTATATCCCCCCAAACAGTCACAATTCAGCTCTGGAAATGTGGCTTTTCAGTTGTTGGTATCAATAACAGGAGCTGCTCTGAGTGGTATGTTGGATCTGTAGTTTATATAAGGAATCAGGGGACACTAGAGAGCGCCACTGTCCCCCTATTGTTTGTCACGTTGACCTGGACTTCACAGTAAATAAGCCTAATGTGTAATGATATAGAATTTGGGAGCTGCTTGGATAAGCTGAGATTACTCCAGAGGGGGAAGAGAAGCGCATAGTTTGTGGTTTCGGTTGCATGTCTGGATGAGTTCACCCTGTAGTATGTAGTTGCTAAACCGGTCTGTATGGATTTTTTTTCTGCTTGTCTTGATGGCTAATAAACAGAACAGAAATGGACAACATCTCTTCCTCTTAGCCGCAAAAGACGTCAATAAAAATGTGTTTATAAACCAGCTTTTCTAGATCGAGCTGATTTGAAAGTGAATCAATGTTTTTAAAAGTGATCTGATTAATATTGGAGGAAAATTTCACTGGTTCATATTTTAGCTTGCAGGGTTTACATGGTTCTACCTGTTTATGCCATGTGTGTGTTCAGACTTTTATAGTTAAGTAGGAGCTTTTCGGATAATCTAGATTGGGGATGAAGAAGCTGGATTGAATAACTTTGTTCTTTTTAGAGGTTTCTTTTTTTGCAGGGGATCACGTGATTTTTAAGCCTGTTCATGTCTGTGTAAGATGTGTTATATTTTCTACCTTATTCTAATGGTTTTAGTTTTTTTTTCTTTAACATTTTGGAAATGTTTTTTTTTTATGCCAGAAGTGCAACTCCTTGCTAACCTGGAAATGAGAAACTGTTTTCATTGCTCAAGAGTGGTCAGGAGATTTTATTTATGCAATGTAGAAAATGTTTTCACTTCCCTGCCTTCTCTCTGAAAGAACCTCCTTTATGGAAAAACTCACGACAACCGTATAAAGAATATGACCCCCAAAAATGTCAAACTCTATTCTAACAGGCTACATTCTGCTTCCTTTGTGCTATGAACGGTGTAGAAGTTGATCGTTTTATGCAGAAAATGAAAATTAAACTGGTGGCAACTTTCAGCCCCAGTTTCTCTCGCCTAAACTCTCATCTCTGAGGTTTGCAATTGTTTCCACGGCAGCGGCCCAAACTTTACCCTACTGCCAAATATCACATGTGTGAGATGAAGGTCATCTCAGTGCAGCTTGTTTGACTGGTATGTGTTTTTTTGAAGGTTTGTTTACTCTTAGCCTTTACTTATAGGTGGGAATTTTTGGGGTCAGACTGATCACTCGGCCTGTCCTCTGTACATGTAAACAGGTTACACCCTGTATCAGTCTGTTGTGTCCAGTTTACTCTATTAAAGAAGAGAAAATAGCTGTTGTGATGATTTTTGCAATAGTAGTTTCTTGAAAGTTATCAATTATTTTCCTTTGTTGTGTTTGTGGTATATGTGCTTCTCAAACTGCTTTATCTCAATAAAATCAACCGCTTTGTGAAAATGGCAAATAATGCTGCGGCTATTTAAAAACCTGTTGAAATTAGGTCAGCTACTGGAAACTGAAGTAATTCAAACACAAAAAATAATCCCAGCCCTTCTGGTGACAATCAAAGCTGGCGGTCACTAAATGCCGTGAGTGCTCAGATTGGTTGACGCATCGTTTGCATGTTTGGATGCGACCATCAATCCGTAGACTATTAAAGACGGTCTTTAATAGTCTAGTCTAGCAGCACCTCTGACTTCCCTCCCCCCCGGTCCGTCCCATCTCACGACAGCTGCATATCTCCCTCACCCACCCAGCATTTCTTGCATGTCTGCACAGCTGTTTCCATAGTGGAAGAAAGCAGACACCACCCTTGTGTGCGATGGCTGCTCCGCTGGCATGTGTGCGTGGCCCCTCCATACTTTCCCAATATGCATGTGGTCCCTGAAGGTCACTCTGACCGATTGACAGGCCTCCTAAGAAATCCCTTTGCGCTGCAGTTGTTCATCTCCTTGGGGTGACACCTGCTGTGAAGGCTTTTTTATATTTTCTTTTTCTTTACGGGCTGCCTGCCAACTAGCTGCTTCAAACTGGGATATTTTTTCTTGGCAGTTTTCGACGGACTATAAACCATCTAGTGCTGCAGCCTGTTTTGAGACAGCAGAGCACTTAAGAAAGAGGCGGATTGGACCGAATATGGAATAAATTAGAAGCATTTACTAATTTAAGATATTGTAGCTCATTTGGAAAGGGTCCTTTGCTTTGTCTTCTTTTAGAAACAATAGGTTAGCGTCTCAGTTGGCTAGAATGAATATAATCACATTAATCTGGACATCTGTAGAAGCTTTAGGAGAGCTCCAAGTGGGGAAAAAATTATCTGCAGAATTAGAGGATATTTAATTTGAGTAAGAAGTAGCTGATCAAGTCTGAAGGGAACTCCCGATCACTATCACTCAGACATCCAAAAAATTTTATTTTTATGATTTTCATTTAATCTTGTTGTATGGAAACAGGAATAGTTTTGGTTAAATTCAGATAACATTGCTAAATGAGTGGCCAGACGTCCATTTTCAGGCCGCCGCACTCAGCCACATAGAGAGGCCTGTCTGAGTTTGGTTTAGCAGACTGAATGACACATTCTCTGTCCGAGTCTCGTGGAACCACAACATGACTTGGCCACTGCGGAAAATGTTCCCTGTTTTTGTGTCTGCGGCGGCAGACAGTTTTAAATCTGCGTCAGGATTTTACCGGGACAGTCCTGGGAGAGCTGTCAGCGTTTGGAGAACAAACTGTCTGCCTGCTCACTGCGGCGGCAGAGAAACGGTCCTCTGGGGAAAATCTGTTTAGGGAACAGATTGTGCTGAGAGAATCCTAAAAGTCTTCACCTGATTTGTTGTGATTTTTTTTTTTTCTCTCTGAGGATTCCTCCTTTTTTTCAAGCAGCTCTCCTATCTAGCTAGGATGACCTAATGTGCTTTGCTGTATTAAGGTGGGGTAGGCTCCTCCAGCCTTTGACTTCAAGTCAATTTAGCAGCTAACAGGACTGAGCACATCTCACTGAGCGAGACACTGCTTAAAGTTGAAGGAACACAGATAAAGACGGACAGGATTGGGGATCTGGGGGTGTTAGGCCAGGGCTTCTGTTGCAGGAAGAAACCTGTTAAACTCCCAACTCTTTCTCTTCTCCTCACACGCTCTCTCCCAGGGCACCACTTAGAAACGGGAATTGAATTAACTAAGAGCCATTCTATGGGATGGTTTACTGAGCTGCAGCCACCAGTGTGAAGGCAGGAGAGGGAGCTTTGTGTTGTGGTCCCTTTGTCTGCCACCACCTTCTCATGCGGTGCCTCACAGTTTCTCCTTTGTGGGGATAAATTAGGTTGGTAATGCTGTTTGGGATTG